GATCAGCCTGGTGGACATGATGAAACCCTGTCTCTACTAAAAGTACAAAAATTAGCTGGGCATGGTGGCAGACACCTGTAATTCCAGCTATTCAGGAGGCTGAGACAGGAGAATTGCTTGAACCCGGGAGGCGGAGGTTTCAGTGAGCCAAGATTGGGCCATTGCACTCCAGCCTGGGCAATAAGAGTGAAACTCTATCTCAGAAAAAAGAAAAAAAGGAAGGATTCACTGGCTCTACTGGCAAAACAAAAATCAACTGGTCAAGCCTTATACTGTGCTGCCCCTGGAAGGCAAGTGTATGAGTAAATTATACTGTAGTAAATTACTAGAGTAAGAATTTTTAAACATGGAAAATAAAAATTTTATTAAAAAGTTTATTAACTGGACATGGTGGTATACACCCGTAGTCCTAGATACTTGGAAGGCTAAGGACAGAGGACTGCTTCAGCCCAGGAGTTTGAGGCTGCAGAAAGCTATGATCAAGCCTCTGCGTTCCAGCCTGGGCAACAGAGTGAGATCTTGTCTCTAAAGGTAATAATAATTAATAATAAAAGTTTTAAACCTTGTAATAGGACAGAATAGATGACAGAGCATTGCTATCCTCAATACAGTAGGAGTTACAACTCATTATAAGGACAAAGAACACAGCTCACAAAAGAAGAACTACAACAATAGCTGATGAGTATTAGAGAACTGAAACAATAAATCACCACTTTTCAACTATTAAATTGGCAATGATTAGAGAGTATGACAATGTGCAGTGCTGGCAAAGATGTAGGAAAATGGATACATTTGGACACGGGTAGTGGGAGCAGAAACTGGCCCAGGCCAGAGCTGTCCAGTGAAACATGCTGTGATACTAGTACATAAACCACTTGGTAGAGCAGTGCGGAATAAAGTTTTTAAGCTTACTTAATTTTAACTAGTTTAAACTTTAACATAAATAGCTATATGTGGTAAGTGGCTACCATATTAGATGGCACAGGTCTAGCCTTTTTAAAGAATAATTTGTCAAATGGAGGTGAACCTTCAAAATGTATTTACTTGTGATGCTATAATTTTACTTAGAGGCGGTTCTCCTATGGAAATAATTATAAATGTACATGAAAATTTAGCTGCAAAATGGCAATATTTTAAGCTGGGTGCAGTGACTCATGCCTGTAATTCCAGGACTTTGGGAGGCTGTGGCTGGTGGATCACTTGAAGTTAGGAGTTTGAGACCAGCTTGGGCAACATGGCAAAACCCAGTCTTTACTAAAAATACAAAAAATTAGCCAGGTGTGGTGGTGAATGCCTGTAATCCCAGCTGCTTGGGTGGCTGAGACATGAAAATTGCTTGAACCCAGGAGGCAGAGGCTGCAGTTAGCTAAGATTGTGCCATTGCACTCCAGCCTTGGCAACAGAGTCTTGCTCTGTCTCAAAACAAAACAAAACACACAAAAAAGGAGTCAATATTTTATTTCATTTTTTACAGTAATGTTTCCTCTTTTTTATACTAGCTTTTATTTAATAAAAACCAAAATTGGCCAGGTGGGGTGGCTCACGCCTGTAATCCCAGCACTTTGAGAGGCTGAAGGGGGCGGCTCACCTGAGATCAGGAGTTTGAGACCAGCCTCCAACATGGAGCAACCCCTTCTCTACTAAAAATACAAAAAGTAGCCGGGCGTGTGGCAGGAGCCTGTAATCCCAGCTACTTGGAAGGCTGAGGCAGGAGAATCGCTTGAATCTGGGAGGTGGAAGTTGATGTGAGCTGAGATACAAGGCCAGGCATGGTGGCACTTTGGGAGGTGGAGGCAGGTAGATCACGAAGTCAGGAGTTCAAGACTAGCCTGGCCAAGATGGTGAAACCCTGTCTCTACTAAAAATACAAAAAAAATTAGCCAGGCATGGTAGCACGTGCCTGTAATCCCAGATACTCGGGAGGCTGAGGCAGAGAATTGCTTGAACCTGGGAGGCAGAGGTTACAGAGAGCTAAGATCGTGACACTGCACTCCAGCCTAAGTGACAGTGAGACTCTGTCTCAAAAAAGAAAAAACAAAGATACAGCTGGACATGGTAGCTCACACCTGTAATCCCAGCACACTGGGAGGCCAAGGCAGGGAGATCACCCAAGGTCAGGAGTTCAAGAACAGCCTGGCCAACAAGGTGAAACCCTGTCCTACAAAACTACAAAAATTAATCAGGTATGATGGCAGACACCTGTAATCACAGCTACTTGGGAGGCTGAGGCTGGAGAATCGCTTTAACCTGGGAGGCAAGCACTGTGCTCCAACCTGGGCTACATAGTGAGACTCTGTCTCAAAAAAAAAAAAAAAAAAAAAAATCCTACACGATTTAAAAAAATGTAAAAACTACAAAAAGGAATACAATGAAAAAAAAAATGGCTTAGTCTGGGTTCCTGGTCATTTTCTAAGAGGCAAAATGAGTTTGGGTGTGAGTGTGTGAACATCTAGAAATAGAAATGAGTCTTGCATACCCTATGTAGCTGCATTTGCCTCCTCCTTTCTCATGTTAATAACAGCAACAACCTCCTTGGAGGTCATTCTTATTAGTTCATGCAGATTCACACTGATTTAGCGGCTGTGAAATAATCCACTGAATGGATATGTCGTGACTTATTTAAATAGTTCCAGGTCCCAGTCTTTTGCTACTGCAAACAAACAGCATTTCATAATCATTATCTCCTCCATATTTTTTGATTATGTACCTCATCAATAAAACATTTTATTTGACTCTAATATATGCATATTTACTTATTCAATTATATCTACCACTCCATATTATAAAACACATATGTAAAAAATCAAATTAAGGATAAAAAATCTAAAAACATTATTATGTGAAATGAAACATTCTCATGAAAATATTAACATTAAAAACAATGAGATTTAAAAATTGCTTAATACTGAGTAAATACTCAAAGGCCTGGCTAGGAATTCGGTTTATTTTGGCACCTGACTTTGAATGGCCATCACAGTTGGAAAAGATGACCTATAAAGATACACATGTAGTGTCCTGCTGGCCACGTTGGGTACATGTGATTGTTATTTTCTTCCTTTTATCTATATATTTTTTGAGTTTCTATTAGTGAACATTTCTTTCCATGATCACTAAAGCAACTCTCATAAGAAACAGCCAAAGGCCGGGCACAGTGGCTCAAGCCTGTAATCCCAGCACTTTGGGAGGCCGAGGTGGGTGGATCACGAGGTCAAGAGATCGAGACCATCCTGGTCAACATGGTGAAACCCCGTCTCTACTAAAAATACAAAAAATTAGCTGGGCATGGTGGCGTGTGCCTGTAATCCCAGCTACTCAGGAGGCTGAGGCAGGAGAATTGCCTGAAGCCAGGAGGCGGAGGTTGCGGTGAGCCGAGATGGCGCCATTGCACTCCAGCCTGGGTAACAAGAGCGAAACTCCGTCTCAAAACAAACAAACAAATAAACAAAACAGCCGAATACCTGCATCTGGCTGTGTTCTTATCTGTAGAAAGTCATTTTCCCTTGTGCTAGCCCATTAAGCCAGTTGTGTTTTCCAAACCCACTCAAAGTCTTTGAAATGCATCCACAATCTTAGGAAAAAATTTTACAATTTCTCATAATATTTCAGAAGCACAGCTTTGCTGCTTTAATGGATCACACTGCTTAGGGATTCTTCATTAATTTGTGAACATAATCAGAAGAAACACTTTTATTTCAAAATTCTTTGGTTTCTTAAAGGCTATTAAAAAAACAAAGTAAAACACAGAGTTTAATGAATATATATTTGTGACAAAGACCTTATGGTGCTTTTAGAGAGAGTCACAGGATGTTTGGATGTGGCCAAATATCGCATCAGATTTGCTTCTTTTCCTCTCTGTCCTGATGCTGGATCTGCTCTTTGTTGGAAGCTGCTTCTGATGCCTTCTCTAAGCCACAAGTGTCACCTCAGAGATGTGCTTAAAAGCTCAACTCCACATTTCCTAATGTCTTCATACTTGTGACCCCTCCACCAAAGATTCCGGAAGATCTATGTCAGTTAATTACTCTGAACTGCACTGTCTTTTCAGTGGTATGATTTTGGAGAATGTCTTGAAGTAGGCTTCTGTCATATAACATCCCATTGCCCTGTCCCTGTCTCCATGCCCACAGAAATAACTTCATTGGCAGAAAAAGAAATCTGGAAATATCCTCTTTGCCAAAGCCTGGAGAACTCCAAGTTGAATTCTTTTTAAAAAATTATTATATTTTTATATTTATTTTTCAGAAAGAGGGGCTTCATCATGTTGCCCAGTCTGGTTTTGAACTCCTGGGCTGAAGTGATCCTCCCACTTCAGCCCCTAGAGGAGTTGAAACTATACTTGTGCCACCACGCCCGGCTGGGATGACTTTTTGAGATCTCTGGGTTTGCTAATTGATGGCTTCTTCATCTGCATTACTCTCCCTGGGACCTGTATTTGAGTTTGGTTGGAAAGTTTCTGAGGCATTTTCTTACTTCCTGAACAAAGAATATTGAGACTCTAACAAAATTCCAGTTAATCTTGGAGGAAATCGATTTTAAGAAAGACAAATGCTCAGGAAAGCTGTTTGTCATCTATCCCAAAGGGTAGCTCTGCAAGTGCAGTGGTGAAGGGGTTGGACAGTGTGGGCAAACTGTGTGCACAGAGCATTTGCATGGAGTGCAGAACACAGGGCTTTTTCCTATGTTGCCTGTCCCTACAAATACTAGAGAAGAAGTTCTGTACACTTCTTTAAACTTATTAATTAAATATCTCTTCTCTGCACCAGTATGTGCAGGGCTGGACTGGCTTGCTGGTGCCTGTATTTCAACCCCTTTTAGAGATACGACCAGATTCAGAGTTCATTAGGCAAAACTTCCAGATGCTTGCATTTAAAGAAGTTATTATAAAAAGGGATTAATTTAGAAGAAACCACTTTAGACTAAAGAAATAGAGGAAGTGTGAACTCACCTGGGGAGCAGGTCACTGAATCCTTCAGTTGCTTCGCTTTGGTTGTCACCTGTTTCAAAACATAAAAGCAAAAATCTTACTTTCCATGTATCTACTGTAGGCTGAGTGAAACTTCCATGTAAGCTCCATGTGAATGAACAGCGTTCACTGGATCTTAGGCCTGAAAGATGCTCAGCGATCTGTCCATTCCATTAATGTAATTAACAAGGAAACTGAGGCCCAGAGAGATTAAATGGATTGCTACAAAACACCCATCTGCTCAGCAGCAGCATCGGGATGAGAACTCACATCCCTGGACTGCTTCTAGCTCAATGGCAGTTCTGTTATATGAGGCTGCCTCTTAAACGATACTACTTTCAAGGCCAGGAGCAGTGGCTCGCGCCTGTAATCCTAGCACTTTGGGAGGCCAAGATGGGTGGATCACCTGAGGTCAAGAGCTTAAGACCAGCCTGTTCAACAGGGTGAAACCCCCTTTTTACTAAAAATACAAAAAGTTGCCGGGCATGGTGGTGGGCATCTGTGATCCCAGCTACTCAGGAGGCTGTGGCAGGAGAATCACTTGAAGCTGGGAGGAGGAGGTTGCACTTAGCCAAGATCATACCACTGCACTCCAGCCTGGATGTCAGAGTAAGACCCTGTCTCAAAAAAAAAAAAAAAAGACACTACTTTTACTATGCAAACAGGTCATTTTTTAAGCCTAAAATTTCCAGAAATTGAATATCTTTCTTCACTGGAGGATATTTTACCACTGAGTATTACAATCAGCAGAGAAAATGACATTTATACTAACAGTGATATAAGATAAAAGTCCTTTCCCTTCTGCAACCTGGAAGGAAACCCTAAGACCATCTGAAATTGACATTAGATGAAGAATTTATTAGTGGAATGGGGCAGCTGCACTCAAGAACCACGATACCTTTATACGTATGAATGTAGATCCACAGAAAGAATGTGGTCTGGTGGTAATTCTTTTTTCTTTATCTAAATGGTATATTGCATGTCTCATTCTATAGCCAGCTCTTTCTTCGTTTAACAATGTCTTGGAGATCTACATATAGATTTGTCTTATTTTTGTTTTATCTTGTTTTTCTTTGTTAACTGATTTTTTGGTTGGTTGGTTTCTGAGACGGAGTCTCTCTCTGTTGCCAAGCAGGAGTACAGTGGCACGACCTTGGCTCACTGCAACCTCCGCCTCCTGGGTTCAAGAGATTCTCCTGTCTTAGCCTCCCATGTTGCTGGGACTAGAGGCATGCACCACCACGTGATCTCTTGACCTCGTGATCCTCCTGCCTTGGCCTCCCAAAGTACTGGGATTATAGGCATGAGCCACCGCGCCCGGCCTGTTTGTTTTTAAAGAGATGTTGCTATGTTGCAGTCTCGCTATATGGCCCAGAATGGCCTGTAATGCCTAGGCTCAAACGATCCTCTCACCTCAGCCTCCTGAGTAGCTGGGACTACAGGTGTGAGCCACTGCACTTGGCTTTCCTTTTTAAAACTGAGATAAAATTTACAGAGTGTAATGTGCAGATTTTAAATGTACAATTTGATGAGTTTTGACCAAAAATCCCTGCCTATATAACACAATCAAATTACAGAACATTGGCCAGGCATGGTGGCTCATGCCTGTAATCCCAGCACTTTGGGAGGCTGAGGCAGGCAGATCACTTGAGGTCAGGAGTTCAGGACTAGCCTGGTCAACACAGCAAAACCCTGTTTCTACTAAAAATACAAAAATTAACCAGGCATGGTGGTGCACGCCTGTAATCCCAGCTATTTGGGAGGCTGAGGCAGCAGAATTGCTTGAACCCAGGAGATGGAGGTTGCAGTGAGCCAAGATTGTGCCACTAAACTCCAGCCTTGGCAACTGAGCCAGACTCTATCTCAAAAGATAAAAAATAAAAAAAAAATTACAGAACATTCCTATTACTCCAGAAAGTTCCTTTGTTTCTTTAATCCAATGTCTGTCCTGCCATAGACAACCACTATTCTGATTTCTGTTGTAGATTTTAAAACATAAGGAGTCAAATTTAATAATTTTTGTCAAATTAATAGTTAATTGCCCTAATGCACTTATCTAACCAGACATCCTTTCCATTTATTTAAAATATAAATTTCATTAAAGTTACATTCTGCTGTATACCTGGGCTATTTTTCTATATTTTTATATCCCATTAATCCATGTATATTTTCAAACCAACACTTCATGGCTTTCATGAGATTTGAAAGTAAAACATCAGAAAGCATAATCGTTAAGAGCTGAGACTTAGTCAGATGTGCTATTCAGTCTTGGTTCCACCTCTTAGCGGGGTAACAGATAATAATTTGCCATCCTTTCTCTGTTTCCTTTATTACCCTCTGTAATGTGTGGATACTACTACTAATACCATTTGCTTCTTAGGGATGTTTTCAGTTTGAAACAAACCCTTAGCATGATACCTGGCAGACAGTAAAGTCTCAGTAAATATTACCTGCTATAATTGAAATAGATAATTTGTTTCCCATTAATACAAAGAGCAGAATTAGGGAGAACATTTAAAAAAGCTGCTTGGAAACACTTTTCACTTTTGTTGCCTACCTTCCACTATCTCTGCAGATGACCTTGCTTCCTATTGAATGTAAGCAAACTGGTTATCCAACATGAGCTTCCTTGACTTCTGAATTTCCCAGCTCAAAAATTTGATTGCTCCACCATATATCCATCCCTTCTTTTATTCTAATTCAAATAAGTAAATGGTATTTCTTCCTCTTAAGGCTAAATCTGCCCCTTGAATCCTCAAAGAACTGTGCTCCATCAATTATTTGCTTTCATCTTCAACTTTTCCCTATCAGATACATTCCATAAACCTTCAAACTTAGCTCAAGTAGTCTCTGCTCTAAAAGACGATCTTCCCTTGACCTTATCTTTTCTATTCTACTTGGCATTCACGACAGTACCTCCTAGTTTTCCTTCTTTCTCTGAATGTTCTTCCACTGGCCTCTCCTATACATTTCTGCCTCTTGTTTATAATAGAAGTGTTCCTCAACAGTTTGCCTTTGCCATTCATGTTCTTTCCACTTTCTACTCTGGTATCTCATCCCATCAATTCAACAACACTTTAGAAAAGAAACGATTAACCTATGTCTTTGGCCCTGACCTCCACCTTGGAATGCCAGTCTCACAGCAATTGACCACATAACAACGGATCCTCAGATCTGAAAAGGACTTCAGCTATGTAACACTAAGCTTACTACGCACTAGGCATTGTTCTAAATCATCTGTGTGTGTATACAAATTCCTCACAGTAGCAATATTAGGTAGACACAGAACTGTCAACCTGAATTTACAGAATCTGAGGCCCAGAGAGAATAAATAATATATCCAAGTTAAACAGTGAGAAGCTAATCCAGACAAGCAGGGATCTAAAATCATTGCTCACAATCACCATAACATAACCACCTTTTAGATCCAAATCTTTCATTTTATAGAAGAAAAACAAGCCAAGTACTCTTTCTGCTATACTACATGGTTTCACTTTCTAACTGCCATTAAATCTCTTAGAGGTCTCCTAGTTCCTGAAACTAAACCAAAAAATAAACTCATCAGTTTATTTTATAATAAAAACAACTTCTGTGTTTTTCCTCCATTGCTGAATAGTTTTATCATCCAAGTCACTTAGGCTCAAAATCTAAGACTCTGTTTTTGGACTTTTCTTTCCTTTCCAGCCACCTGCTTCAGGGTATCAATTCCATCTGTTCCTTTCTCTCTTAGACCTTCACCACCTACACTAGTCCTTCATTCTCACTTGACCAAACTAATATAACACCTTCTAACAGGTCCCTAACTTAATTAACAGTTAATAATTAATGACTGATACTGAATGTTTTCTCATGTGTTTACTGTACATCTGTAGATCTTCCTAGGAAGGATATCTATTAATATCCTGTATCCATTGCTTATGTGGGTCATTTAACTTTTTACTATTGAGTTGGAAGATTATTTTTTTGTCTTTTCTTTTTTTTTTGAGATGGAGTCTGGCTCTGTTGCCCAGGCTGGAGTGCAGTGGCACAATCTCAGCTCACTGCAGCCTCCACCTCCCAGGTTCAAGTGATTCTCCCGCCTCAGCCTCCCAATTAGCTGAGACTACAGGCACACGCCACCATGCACAGCTAATTTTTTGTATTTTTAGTAGAGACAGGTTTCACCATGTTGGCCAGGCTGGTCTTAAACTCCTGACCTCAGGTGATCTGCCTGCCTTGGCCTCCCAAAGTGCTAACATTACAGGTTTGAGCTACTATGCCTGGCTAGAGTTGTAAGATTCCTGATGTGCTCTGGGTACATGTATTTTATCAGATATAAAATGTGCAAATAAGTTCTCCCTTTCTTTGAGTTACCTTTTTACTTTCTGGATGGTGTCCCTTGACTCACAAAAATTTTTAATTTTGCTGAGGTCCAATTTATCTACTTTTTTCAATTTTGAAGTTTTTGGTTGCTTGTGCCTTTGGTATCATATCTAAGAATCCTCTGCCAAATTGAAGATCAGGAAAACTTAAGAGTTCCAAATTAAACTAGACTTCAGCTGGGCAAGGTGGCTAACGCCTATAATCCCAACACTTTGGGAGGCCAAGGTGGGTGGCTCACCTGAGGTCAGGAGTATGCGACCAGCCTGACCAACAGAGAAACCCCATTAAAAAAAAAAATTTGGATAACATTGAAAGGAAAAAAAAGATTAAAAAAAAATTAGACTTCAATTTCTTTCAACAACATTATATAGTTTTCAAAGTTAAAGTTTTTCACATCTTTTGTTAAATTTATTCCTATTTTATTCTTTTTGATGAAATTATGAATGTAATTATTAATTTCATTTTCAGGTTGTTCATGGTAAATGTATAAAAATAAAACTGATTTTTGTAATATTAATATGTATCCTGCAACTTGTTAAACTCATTTATTAGTTCTAATTTTTTGTGTGTGGATTTCTCAAGATTTTCTATATATAAAATCATGCCATCTGCAAAAAGAGAATTTTACTTCTTTTTCTTAATCTTATTTCTTTTTCTTGCCTGATTGTCCCAGCTAGCACTTTAAGTACAATGCTAAATAAAAGAAGCAAGGGTAGGCATCCTTATTTTGTCTTATCTTAGCAAAAAAGCATTCTGTCTTTCACCAGTAAACATGGTATTGTAGGGTTTTAGGAGATGCTCTTTTATCTGGTTCAGATACTTCTCTTTTATTCCTAGTCTGCTGAGTGTCTTTTTAGTGCAGAGGTATTGGAGTCTGTCAAATACTTTTTTTTTTTTTTTTGAGATGCAGTCTTGCTCTGTTGCCCAGGCTGCAGCGCAATGGTGCGATCTCAGCTCACTGCAACCTCCACCTCCACGTTCAAGTGATTCTCCTTCCTCAACCTTCTGAGTAGCTGAGATTACAGGTGTGTCTACCACACCCAGCTTTTTGTAATTTTAGTAGAGACAGGGTTTTGCCATGTTGGCCAGGCTGATCTCAAACTCCTGACCTCAGGTGATCCACCTGCCTTGGCCTCCCAAAGTGTTGGTATTACAGGTGTGAGCCACTGTGCCTGGCTCAAACACTTCTCTTGAGAATATCGTGTGATACTGCTTTTTATTCTATTGACATGAAGTATTTACATTAATTGATCTTGAGATGTTTAACCAACCCTGCATTCCACTGCATTTCAGGTTTAAATGCCACTTGATCATGCTGATGAATGTTGTTGTTTTTTTTTTTTAGATAAATATTCACCCAGGCTGAAGTGCTGTGGTGTTGATTTAAAGCTCACTGCAGCCTCCAATTCCTGGGCTCAAGTGATTCTCCCCACTTAGTCTCCTGAGGAGCTGCAACTACAGGTGCACACAACCATGCCCACTCCACGGCAATAATTCTTTTTACAAGTTGCCAAATTCAGTTTGGTGTTATTTGTTGAGATTTTTTGCATCCTTGTTTATAAAAACATTGGTCTGTAGTTTTCTTGTGATATCTTTGGTTTTGTATCACGGTAATACTGCCATCATAAAATGAGCTGAGAAACATTCACCCCTCTTCCTTTTTTTTTGAGACCATTGCAATTTTTTAAATGTTTGGTAGAATTCAGTGGTGAAACTATCCGGACTTGGACTTTTCATTGTGAGTAGGTTTCTGATAACTAATTCAATCTTTTTACTAATTACAAGTCTATTAAAATTATCTTTTTCTATATAAGTCTATTAAAATTATTTTTTTCATTGTGTGTAGGTTTTTGGCAACTAATTCAATCTTTTTACTAATAACTAATTCAATCTTTTTACTAATTATAAGTCTATTAAAATTTTTTTCTGATTATTTTTAGACAGTTTCCTGTGTCTTTCTAGGAATTTATCGATTTCACCTCTATCTATGAGAACAATAGCCATCTAATTTCTTGACATACATTTGTTCATGGTTGTACTTCTTATAATATTTTTATTTAAATAAGATTGGCAATACTGTCTTTTTTTTTTCATTTTTGACTCTAGAAATTTGAGTCCTTTCTCTTTTTTTCTTGGTTAATCTTGCTTAAATCCATGTTAATTTTCTTGGTATTTTCCAAGAATTAGCTTTCGGTTTTATTGATTTCTTTTTCTTTACTTTTTTCTATTACTTTCATTTCTGTTTCTGTTAGTCTGTTCTCACATTGCTATAAAGAAACGCCGGACACTGGGTAATTTATAAAGAAAAGAGATTGAATTGATTCATGGTTTCAGAGGCCATAAAGGAAGCATGGCAGCATCTGCTTGGCTTCTCGGGAAGCCTCAAGAAATTTACAATCATGGCAGAAGGCAAACCGGGAGACAGCATTTCACATGGCCAGAGCAAGAGGAACAGAGAGTGAGGGGGAGATGGTGCATGCTTTTAAACAACCAGGTATTGTGAGACCTCTATCACCAGAATGGCACCAAAGGGGGAAATCCAACTCCATGATCCAATCACCTCCCACAAGACTGCACCCACAACACTGGTGATAACACTTTGATATAGAATTGGTGGAGACACAGATCCAAACCATATCACTGACCTACTTTTTGTTATTTTCTTTTTTCTGTGTGCTTTAGGTATAGTTTCTTCTTTTTCTAGTGTCTTAAGGTGAAAAGATTAATGATTTGAGATCTTCTTTCTTAACATAGGGCATTTATAGCTATGAATTTCTCTCTAAGAAGTGTGCTAGCTGCATTCCTTAAGTCTTGGCATATCATGTCTTATTTTCATTCATCTCAGATAGTTTTCCAATTTTCCTCAAGATTTCTTCCATGATCTACTGATTATTTAGGAGTGTGTTGTTTATTTCTCAAACATCTGTTGATTTTCCCTAATTTTTTTTTCTAATGCTGATTTCTAATTTAATTCCACTGGGATTAAAGAACATACTGTATATTATTTATCCTTTTAAACTTATTGATGTTTGTTTGATGTCCTATCATATAGTCTATCCTAAAGAATGTTCCATTTGTACTTAAGAAGAACATACATCCTGTTTTTAGATGGTGTGTTTTAGGAATATGTTAGGTCTAGCTGATTTATCATCTTGTTCAAATCTTCCTAGTTGATTTGTCTGGTTGTTTTGTCCATTACTGAAAGGGAGGCACTGAAATTTCCAATCATTATTGTTGAACTGTCTATCTCTTCCTTCAATTCTGTCAGTTTTTGCATCATGTATTTTGGTGTTCTGTTATCAGGTGTATACATGTTTATAATTGTTAGATCTTCCTGAATTGGCCTGTGTATAAATGTCCCTCTTTATAACTTTCTTTTTTGCTTTAAAGATTACCAGAGGACATACAAAGATGTATAAATATATAGAATATATTGCATTTTACCTAAACAATAAATAAAGCACAATAGCATAATTCTAAGAAAAGCTTATGATCTACTAGATTTTAAATTTTTCTCTGCTTCCTGCCCAGATCCATAAGTTGTGATATATATGGTCACACAAGGAATTCATACAGACTTTTCATTTGAGGTCAACTGGCAAAGTCACAAACACATCTGACCTTGGAACCTTATAACCTGAGATTCATATAACTCTTTAACATCTTAATGTCATGCTACAGCCTTTCATATATATCGTTCTTTTCCTCTTAATATGAAGAACTAATATATGAAACATATTAATATATTTTCTTACAGACAAATGGATTCCTAATATCAAAATCCTGCCCAGTAAAAAATTTGAATTGTACGTGAGGATGAATTACCTTAGAGAATCATTCACTTAGCACTGATATTCTAGTATTAGAACATAGCCTTTACTAACTTACAGTTTCCTGATACATAGTCAAGAACCAGCTTCCTGTTTCTACAGAGTCACTGACTCAGTTTGAGAATAGAGTGGCCTTCTGCCGGTAGTGGATTCTGAATACAGCATCTATCATAATTTGGCTTATCTATCACACATAATCTGAGTCCTTCAGATCATTATTGTCAAACAATGAAAATGATCTGATGTCATTATTGTCATTTTGGGGTCATACCTTTTTTTTTTTACACTTAAAAGGCAACTTAGAACTTACAACATGCTCATTAGATAGAAGCAAAGCACAGTAGGTTTTCCAATTCTGTGTGGTCCAATATTAATATTCAAGTCACTATGCAAAGTCTACATCTTCTGCTGTCATAAGACAGTTTCACAAAATGGTAACTGCAGTGACTTTTTCTTTTCTTGAGAATTTCCCTTCTCATTAGTTTTTGTCTTGGGAGGAGCCAAGTACGTGGCAGATGATGGCAAAATATTTTTGTTTGGGGGCAAGTTTGGCCTCCTCAAATGATCATTGATGATTCTAGGTAGATAAAGAAGTAGTGGTCTACTATAAAGCTCAATGCCCAGGGTGACTCAGTAAGACAGCAAGTCACTTTGAGAAAGTACATTCATCTTTCCATGACCATGGTCATCACCAAATTGATTTCTCTCCTTTAGATCTGGATGACTTTCAGTAAAGTGAGTAGCAATTCACTCTCAAAATGTTTACTGTTTATTTTCTCAGATAGTACACAATAAATTTTTCAGCTACTTATTCTACTTTTGTATCATGTGCAGTTTCAGAAGATATGGGACTTTTCTGTAGCCTCTTCTGGGGAGAAGATATGTATTCTTACATAGGTTTCACACAGATGAGGCCTCCCCTGCTTCTTCTTTGGTACCTGGGGAACTAATATTCTGGGCTACTGGCTTGGGTGGGCTTTTGGACAATCCAATGTGTATTAATAGTCACATGGATTGTAGAACTGTGGTGGAGTATGTTTCACCACATTGTGATTCCAAGCAGAAAACACTTTCTAACTCCTCTTCTTAATGCCCAAATTTATCTTTAAAATGCTCATGAAATTGGGGTCCTATGATCTAAGTTTGAGATTTATGATAGGTAAGGGTAGAGTAAGTAAAAGAAACCTAAAATACGTTGCATTCCCTCTAGTAAAAACACTGATGAAATTAACAGAAAATCAAATCAATAAATTGAAAATTATAGTTCATAGGGTAGAGTTACTAGGATCAGTTAACAGTTACATGGTTACATATTTCTGTTCAGTATAAAGAATTTTCCAATTTTCTGAGTTATGTAAAGTATATGTTCATATTTCTGGCATCTTCAGGTAACTGATAAAATAAGTACTGAATCTGAGTAATAACCTTATGTCATATTTTTCAAGTTCTGGCTGTCAGTGATATTTTAAGTATCACTTTAGTAGCCGGGCTTGGTGGCTCAAGCCTGTAATCCCAGCGCTTTGGGAGGCTGAGGCGGGTGGATCACTAGGTCAAGAGATCGAGACCATCCTGGTCAACATGGTGAAACCCCGTCTCTACTAAAAATACAAAAAATTAGCTGGGCATGGTGGCGCATGCCTGTAATCCCAGCTACTCAGGAGGCTGAGGCAGGAGAATTGCCTGAACCCAGGAGGCGGAGGTTGCAGTGAACCGAGATTGCGCCATTGCACTCCAGCCTGGGTAACAAGAGCAAAACTCCGCCTCAAAAAAAAGAAAGTATTACTTTAGTAACAAAAATTAAGTAACTGCAAAGTTCATTATTTTCATTCGTTGAATTTACTCTTGGTCAACTTTCCAGTTAAATTTAGCCCTCATTACAAGTGAGAACTACTACAGCAGTCAAATACAAAGCATGCTCTGTTACTTGAACATTAAATAAACCACTTTGAAAAACTATTTTTTTCTCCTCTCCCTTCTCCTCCTAAATAAGCCACCTGAAAAATGTTTCCAGCTGGTAGAAGGCAGTGCTGCTCATCCTTGTTATTTCTCTAATGTCTTTAAACTTTTCTGTGGATTATCTGTGTAGACAGAAAAACATGAGATAATTGTGTTCATCTTAACTTTTAAAAAAGAAGGTCTTTCATTAACTGATTGCCTCTGTAAGTAACATGGATAGGCATTTCCTGGGAGAAAACACTTATGTGAAAAGACAATTGTATAGTTTTGTAGATACTGTTACTCTACCAGTGAACACCGTAACAGTATATCTATGTCTAGTATGTAATGTGTGGATTTTAAATTGTTTCACAGCGTTCCTCCATTTACCCTATAAAATCACTAGGAAAGTTGATCACTGTGTAAACTTCAAGCTGCATTTAACTTAGATCCACTCCTGCTCATTAATGCTTCTGATGAGTAGATTCTTTTTAAGAAACTCCAAGAGTACAAAGGGGACACTAAAATATAGGGGTATGAGGCAAGAGGAGTGCACACCTTGAGAATTAACACAGATGACGGGAAGATTTTTAGACTTTCACAAACCATGGAGTTGTTGGTGGTCTTAGCTCATCTCTAAGAGGCAGAGAGGTCCACCTGACATCTGAGTTACAACAGCCTAATAAAGATAGGGGAAAAGAGTAACTCCAGATTGTATATTAAGTTGTTTACTATATAAATTTAGACATTTCATCTAACATTTGGGTGCCTTCAGATTTCCCACCTATAACAATCTCTTGAAAATTCATTTCAGATCTAATGATGAGGTTTTGATTTTAAAATGGGATTTTTAAAAAAATTTTTTGAGATGGAGTCTCGCTCTGTTGCCCAGGCTAGAGGGCAGTGGCATGATTTCAGCTCATTGCAACCTCTGCCTCCTGGGTTCAAGTGATTCTCATGCTTCAGCCTCCTGAGTAGCTGGGATTACAGGTGTGCGCCACCATACACACCCAGCTAATTCTTGTATTTTTAGTAGAGACGGGGTTTCGCCATGTTGGTCAGGCTGGTCTCGAACTCTTGATCTCAGGTGATCCGCCTGCCTTGGCCTCCCAAAGTGCTGGGATTATAGGCATGAGCCACTGTGCCTGGCCTAAAATGGGAATTTCTATTGATCCAGTTACCTTCTATTCCTCCTTGATATTGCTGTCAATGTTATTTTCTTGGTACTAATGAAAATTATAATATTGTTTGTTGTATAACTACTCGTTAAGCTGTTTTACATGTTTATATTTTACAATAAGGAAAAATAGGTAATAAAAGAATATTAACAACTTTATGCCAATTTATTTCAAGATGTAGTTCAAAGAGATGCATTCCTAGAAAAATCTAATGTTCTAAAATTTACTCAGGAAGAAATAGAATCTTGGCTGGGTGCAGTGGCTCATGCCTATAATCCCAGTACTTTGAAAGGCTGAGGCAGGCGGATCACCTGAGATCAGGAGTTTGAGACCAGCCTGGCCAACACGATGAAACACCATCTCCACTAAAAATATAAAAATTAGCTGGGTGTGGTGGTGCAGCCTGTAATCCCAGCTACTCAGGAGGTTGAGGCACGAGAATTGCTTGAACCCGGGAGGCGGAGGTTGCAGTGAGCTGAGATCGTGCCACTGTACTCCAGCCTGGGCAACAGAGTGAGACTCCATTGCAAAAAAATAAAAAAGGAGGAGGAAGAAGGAGGGGAAGAAGAGGTGGAGGAGAAGGAGAAGAAGGAGAAATAGAGTTTTTTGGGGAGGTGACATCAGCAAGACGGCTGACTAGAGGCCCCTAGTGCTCATCCCTTCCACAAAGACAGCCAAGAACAATGAATAAACCACTACATTTTAATGGAAATAGCTAAAGGAGAGTGCTGGAGCACGTCAAAGAAGTAACAGCAACTCTGGTGAGTGGAGAAACTGGGGACAGCCACATAAAGAACAGAAGGAAATGCCAGGCCTCTGCCACTCCATCCCCTAGCCAGGATTGGCTGAGAACCAGGTGGCCACTTCTGCCTTTGATGAAAAGGTAGGCAAAAAAATCCCAGAAGCCCCAACAGCTTAGACACTTATGGGCCTCACCACTCGGGTTACCTGCAGTACTAACAGGCACTAAGCCCAGCTGAGGAAGTTGCAAAGAAGCTGCCCAGCTTTCTTTCCCCAGAGAAGTTGCCAATACTGTGTTCCTCCTACTGTGGCCTCCTGGCCACCATGCCACACCATCTTGGAACTGAAACAAATGCTGGTGTGTGCCTTACTCTGGCGGCTAGTAGTCATGGCACCCCTTCATCCCTGAGGTGAGCCCACTATCAGACCACCTCTGCTCAGTGGTCTGACATCCCCAGGTGGCTCAGCTGTGAGCACCTTTCCCTGTGGAACCAAGCAGTGGTGGAACTTCCACCCTCAACCCTCATTGCCTTGGGCTGGAGCTTAAGTACCATTTCTCCTTCCTGAGGAAAGGATGGTTTGACAAAACAGCTCCAGTTCCCTCTGTCAGCTGCAGCTGTACGCTGCCCCTGCAGGCCTGAGCTGGAACTGTGCACTGCCTCTCGCTGGAAAGAGAGCTTGGCTGGAGCTCTGCTCTCTGGTGCCTGGGCTGCCTGGGCAGTCACGCCCCTCTAGGCCAGAGCTACAGCAGGACATTGCCGCCTGGGGAACTGGCACCTTGGCTGAGCTGAGAAGTTGTTCATCCCAGGGCTAAGCTGATGTACTACCGTTTGTCTCAGGGAAACAGAGCAGTGGGTGAGCTCAGACAACCTACTCTACAGGCCAAACAACTCTAGTACTCTGCTTCTCTGGAGCTGGACCAGAACCCTAGAGTCTGGGCTGTTAAGACAACCCCCTCCTTGGAGAGTAGCATTATCGCTGTGCCATTTGCTGTCCCTCATGGCCCAAACAATAGCCATGCTTGATCGACCATTCTGGGCTACTTGCTGTCATTGCACTTGGACTCACAGACTGAGAAACTGTTGAGCCCCACAATCTCAGGTTGTAGAGTTACCACTACATGATGCCTCACATCCAATGACCTTTGTTGTCACTGAGTTCTATAGGTTCAGGCTCCTAAATCAAAGCCATATCATGGCCCCAAGCTCAAACCTCCTGAGAATACATTTTTCCCTGGAGTGCCAGAGCTGTGAACTGCTCCCCAGAAATAGCCACACAGCTACAACCTGACCTTCTGGACCTGAGCTGCTAGAAGGTGCCTCAGAGTCACAGATCCTAGCATTAAGGGCAACCTAATCTTAAGCATTAAGATTGTACCCCAAGACCCACGTGCCAAATAAGGTTCCTAAGACCCTGAGCTTAGGACTCCAGCCCCACCGATGCTCTGAGCACTTGCACCTGGAATTCAGCCACTGTCGCAGCTGCTTGTCATCCATGCCAAATCTGACACCAAGAGGTATCCCCTTGTCTAAGTTTCTCCATTGTGGGGAAGATGAGAAAAGGACTCCAAAAGCCCCTTCTACCAAGTAGTTAACAACTTATGCTGCTGCTGCCACAACCACAAATGTCTACAACCTAGGCCACTGAGGCACTCACATTTATTACGAATGTTGAATACAGATGAAGAAGCTGAACAGAGACTATACCACTGCACCTACCTGGAAACAGTTGCCATCTACTTCCACCTGGCACTGTAAGACCCAACTACAGGTGAAAGTCTTTCTCTGTGTATGAAAGCCACTGTAGAAAGTTTGGAAAAGGCTACTGTTTCATAAGATGTACAGATAGCAATACACAGACACAAGAAATATGAAAATCAAGTAAATATAACATCACAAAAGGAACACAACTCTTGAATAACAGACCCTAATGAAAAGGAAATCTACAAGTTGCCAGTATAGAAATTAAAAACTAATGATCTTAAGGAAGCTCACTAAGATATAAGAAAGTATAGATAATTGAACAAAACTAGGAAAAAAAAATCGTGATATAAATTAGAAACTCAACAGAAATAAATATCATGAAAAAGAATCAAAGAGAAATCTTGCAGTTGAAGAATTCAATGAACAAAAACATACAGGCAGGCATGGTTGCTCATACCTATAATCCCAGAACTTTGGTAGACTGAGGTGGGTGGATCACATGAGGCTGGGAATTCAAGACCAGCCTGGCCAACCTCATCTCTACTAAAAATACAAAAAGTAGCTGGGCATGGTGGTGCATGCCTAGAATCTCAGCTACTTGGGAGGCTGAAGCATAAGAATTAGTTGAATCTAGGAGGCAGAGGTTGCAGTGAGCTGAGACTGAGCCATTGCACTCCAGCCTGGGCAACACAGTGAGACTCTGTTTCCAAAAAAAAGAGAGAGAGCCCAAATAGAAGACTTGATCTAACAGAAGAAAAATGAAAATCTCAGAGTTTGAAGACAGGTCATTTGAAATCACCCAGTTGGTGGGGAGGGGGAAGCAAAAAAGAGAAAAAAAAAAAAAAGCTTACAAGACTTATGAGACACCATAAAGTGAACAAGTGTGCATATTATGGAAGTTACAGAAGGAGAAGACATGAAAAAGGGCATAATAAAAAAAGCTATTTAATCAAACAGTAGCTGAAAACTTCCCAAGTCTCATCCAGATAAGAAAGTTCAAATACCCCCAAATAGATTCAAGTCAAAAAGATCCTCCCAGAGGCAAATTACAATCAAAATTTCAAAGTCAAAGACAAAGAGAAAATTCTAAAAATAGCAAGAGAAAAATGTCAGGTTACATTTATGGGGATTCCCATTAGACTTCTTCAGAGAAACCTTGCAAGCTATAAGAGAATGCAATAATATATTCAATGAACTGCAAAAAAAAAAAAAAAGCCATCAAAGAATACTATATTCAGCAAAACTATCCTTTACAAATGAGAAAGAAATCCTTCCCAGAGAAGCAAAAACTAAGGGAATTCATCACCACTACACTGGCCTTATAAGAAATACTCAAGGAAGTCCTGCAAAAAGTGGCAGCAAAAAGATGATAATCACCATCATGAGAACATTCAAAAGTATAAAATTCACTGTTAGAGCAAATACACAAAGCAGAAAAAGGATCAAATCTTAGTATTACATAAAACCACCCAACCACAATGATAAGAGAGGAAGAAAGAAAAAAACGGTATCTAAACCAGAAAACAATGAACAAAATGACAGCAGTAAGTCCTAATTTATCAATAATAACCTTGAATGTAAACAGACTATATTCCTCACTTAAAAGATACAGACTGGCAAGATGAATTTTTAAAACATGACCCAACTATACTATATGCTTCCTAAAGAGATTCACTTCACTTGTAAAGACACATACAGACTGAAAGTGGAGGAAGAAAAACGATATTACATGCAAAAGGAAAATAAAAGTGAAAAGACAAAGCTACATTTATATCATATGAAACAGACTTTAAGTGAAAAACTATAAAAAGAGACAAAGGAGTCATTATATGATAATAAAAGGATCAATTCAGCAAGATGTGAATATACATGTGCAGCTGTGAATATATATGCACCCAACATTGGAAAACCCAGATACATAAAAGCAGATATTATTAGATCTGAAGGGAGATCACAGACTCCAATACAATAACTTTTGGGGACATCGACACCCCACACTCAGCAATGGACAGATCATCCAGACAGGAAATCAACAACAAGAAAACACTGAATTTGAATTGCACCTTAGACCAAATGGAATTAACAGACGTTTACAGAATACTTTATCCAAAAGCTATAGAATACACATTCTTCTCATCAGCTCATGGAACATTCTCCAAGATAAACAACATGTTATGCCACAAAACAAGTTTCAAAAATTTTTAGAAACTAGCAATCACATTAAGTATCCTCTTGGACCACAATGGAATAAAACTGGGAATCAACACCAAGAGGAACTTTCAAAACCATACAAATATATGAAAATTAAACAACATGCTCCTGAATGTCAATTAAAAAAATTAAAAAGAAAATTAAAAACATTGTTGAAACAAATGAAATTAAATACACAACAAATCAGCTGGGTGTGGTGGTTCATGCCTGCAATCCTAGCGCTTTGGGTGGCTGAGGCCAGTGGATCACTTGAGGTCAGGAGTTCAAGACCAGCCTGACCAACATGGAGAAATGCCATCTCTACTAAAAATACAAAATTAGCTGGGCATGGTGGCACATGCCTGTAATCCCAGCTACTTAGGAGACTGAGAAGGGAGAATTGCTTGAACCCAGGAGGTGGAGGTTGCAGTGAGTAAGATCATGCCATTGCACTCCAGCCTGGGCAACAGGAGCAAAACTCTGTCTCAAAAACGAAAAACAAAAAACAAAAAACCAACCAACCAAACAAACAAAAAACACAACAAACTAAGATCTACCGAATACAGTAAAAGTAATATTAGAGAAGTTTATAGCCGTAAATGCCTACATCAACAAGGAGAAAGATTTCAAAGAAATAACCTAATGATGCATTTCAAGGACTAGAAACGCAAGAAGAAACCAAACCCCAAGTTAGCAGAAAGAAAGAAATAACAGAAATCAGAGTAGAAATAAAATTGAAACCCTGCCGGGCGTGGTGGCTCACGCCTGTAATCCCAGCACTTTGGGAGGCCGAGGTGGGTGGATCACGAGGTCAAGAGATTGAGACCATCCTGGTCAACATGGTGAAACCTGGTCTCTACTAAAAACACAAAAAATTAGCTGGGCATGGTGGCACGTGCCTGTAATCCCAGCTACTCAGGAGGCTGAGGCAGGAGAATTGCCTGAACCCAGGAGGCAGAGGTTGCGGTGAGCCGAGATGGCGCCATTGCACTCCAGCCTGGGCAACAAGAGCGAAACTCCGTCTCAAAATAAATAAATAAATAAATAAAATTGAAACAAAATAAAAAACTGTACCAAACATCCATGAAACAAAAAGTTGGTTTTTTGAAAAGATTAACAAAATGATAAATCATTAGCTTAGATTAACCAAAAGAAATGAAAAACATGGATAATTCACCAATCATTAAAGAAATAAAATCTGTTGCCAAAAATATCTTCTTTGGAGAGAATATCAGCCACACTTTCTTTTATTATTCAAGTACTTTCAGAGCACAACTACTGATGTGAATGAAATAAATAAATTCCTAGAAATCATTAAAATTTAATCAAGAAGAAATAGGAAATCTGAATAGACCTATAATAACTTAAAAACAAATGAATTAGCAACTAAAAGTATTCCCACAAAGAAAAGCCAAGGCCTAGCTGGCTTCACTGGTGAATTCTACCAAATATTCAAAGAAGATAAAATAGCAACTGGTCACAAACTTAGAAAATAGGGGAGGATAGAATATTTCCTACTCATTCTACGAGGCTAGTATTGCCCTGATATCAAAGCCAGACAAAGACATCACAAGAAAAGTATAGACCGTTCACTCTCATGAACACAGAAACAAAAATCCATAATAAATTATTAGCTAACCTCAGTGGCTTATGCCTGAAATCCCAGCTCTTTGAGAGGTGGAAGGAGGCAGATCACCTGAGGTCAGTAGTTCAAGACCATCCCGGCTATCATGGTGAAATCCCATCTCTACTAAAAATACAAAAAATTAGCTGGGCATAGGCACACATCTGTAATTCCAGCTGCTCCAGAGGCCAAGGCAGAAGAATTGCTTGAACTCGGGAGGCAGAGGCTGCAGTGAGCCGAGATCGTGCCACTGCTCTCCAGCCTGGGTGACAGAGTGAGACTCCATCTCAATAATAAAAAAAAAAAAATTAGCCAACCAAATCCAGCACCATACAAAATTTATGTAAGTCAGAATGTCAGGTTAGTTTAATATCCAAAGGTCAATTAATATAATATGCCATATTAATAAAACAAAGGATAAAAATCACGTGACCATCTCAACAGATGAAGCAAAAGCATGTGACAAACTCTAATGTCTATTCATGATAAAAACTCTCAAGCTATAAATAGAAGGGAAGTTCCTTAGATAAAAAGCATCTATGAAAAATTTACAGCTAAAATCATACTTAATGGTCAAAGACTGAATGTCTTCCCTCCATGATCAGGAACAAGGCAAGTATGCCTGCACTCACCACTTCTGTACAATAAAACTGGATGTTTTACCCAGTGCAATAAGGCATTAAGTAAATAAATGGACTGAAGGCGTCCAGAATGGAAAGGAAGAAGAAAAACTTCTTATCCACAGAACTATTAAACCATCAATGTTAGCTAAGTCAACAGGCTCCAAAACCCAGTATATAAAAATCCACTGTATTTCTACATACTAGCAATGAACAATTTGAAAGTGTAATTAAGAAAAAAATTCTGGCTGGGCGCAGTGGCTTACATCTATAATCCCAACACTTTGATAGGTCAAGGCAGGAGGATCTCTTAAGCCTATGAGTTCAAGACCAGCCAGGGGAACACAGTGAGACCCTGTCTCTACAAATAAAAACTTAAAACATTAGCTGGCATGGTGGTGCATCCCTGTAGTCCCAGCTACTTGGAAGGCTGAAGTAGGTAGATTACTTGAGCCTAGGAGGTTGAGGCTATAGTGAGTAGTTGTCATGCCTCTGTATTCCAACCTGGGCAACAAAGTGAGACTCTGTCAGAAAAAAAATAAAAATAAAAATACAAATAAATAAATAATTCTGCCAGGGCAAGGTGGCTCACACCTGTTATCCCAATACTTTGGGAGGCTGAGGCAGGAGGATTGCTTGAGGTCAGGAGTTTAAGACCAGCTTGAGCAACATAGTGAGATCCTATCTTTACACAAAAAAATTAGTTGGGTGTGGTGGTATCACTTGTAGTCCCAGCTACTTGAGAGGCTGAGGCAGAAAGATTCCTTCAGTCATGGAGTTCAAAGTCGCCTATGATCATACCACTGCACTCCAGATTGGGCAACAGAGTGAGTTCCTATCTTCAAGAAAAAGAAAGAAAAAATAAAACAGTTCTTCTCCAGAAGATGAAAAATATTACATGTAATAAAAGAAGAACCAGGTTTGCATATTGAAAACATTGTAGATAGAACTCTTAAAAGCTCTAAATAAATGAAAAGACATTTTGTGTTCATGAATTTCGACATTCAAAATTGTTAAGATGGAAATTCTCTCCAAATTGATCTATAGAGTCAATGCAAATGAACATCCATGAGCAAAAAAAAAAAAAAAAAGTAAACCTGACCCTTACATCTCACCTTAACCACAAAAATCAACTCAAAATGGATCTTAGATCTAAATGTGAGATCTAAAACTATGAAACTCCTAAGAAAATATAGGAGAAATTCTTTGCTATCCTGGGTTAGGCAAAGTTCTTAGGTATAACACTAAAAAGCATAATCTATAGAAGAAAAAAATTGATAAACTGAACTTTACTAAAATTAAACTTTTGTACTTTACATGACACCATTAAAAAAATAAAAAGACAAACTGCACAGTGGGAGAACATATTTGCAAATCATATATTTGATGAAGGACTTGAGTCCATAATATACAGGTTGAGTATTCCTTCTCCAAAATGCCTGTGACCCAAAGGATTTCAGATTTACTCGGATTTTGTAACATACGTATTCTACTTACAAGCTGATCATCCTAAATCTGAAAATCTGAAAATCTGAAATCTGAAATGCTCTAACAAACATTTCCTTTGAGTGTCATGTTAGTGCTTAAAAGTTTCGGAATTTTAAGCATTTCAAATTTCAGATTTTCGGGTTTGGCATGTATAACCTATAGATAAAGAACTCCTACAACTCAATAATTACAGGGAAAACAACCAAATTAAAATATGGACAAAAATTATGAATAGATATTTCACTAAATAAGACATAGGAATGGCTAATAAGGACTATATAGATACTTCACATCATTATATACTAAGGGAGCATATATTAAGACATAGTGAGATACCATAACACTCCTATCACAATGGTTATAATTTTAAAAACTAGAAAAAGAACAAGTGTTGGTGAGGACACGGAGAAACTGTAACCCTCATGTATTTCTGGTAAGAATGTAGTATGGTACAGCCACTTTGAAAAATAATCTGGCAGTTTCTTTAAAAGTTAAACTTATTATATGACCTAACAATTCCACTTCTAGGAATCTACCCAGGAGAAATAAAAACACACATCCATACAAAGATTTGAATGCTAAAGTTCATAGCAGTATTACTCTAACAGCATCAAAGTGGAAATAAGACAAATGACCAATGAGCAGAGAACAAATAAAATGTAGTATTTATCCATGTAATTGAGCAATACAAAGAAATTAAATGTTGATATGTGCTACAACATGGATGAACTTCAAATACATTTTGCTAAGTGAAAGAAGCTATATGAGAAAGACTAAACACTGTAAGATTCCATTTAAATGTAATTTCCTGAAAAGAAAATACATCTGTGTAGCCTGAGAGAACAGGAGGGGGAAATGACTGCTAATGGGATTGAGGGAACATTTTGGGTGATGAGAGTGTCTAAAACTGGATTGTGGTGACTTTACAAATTTACTAAAAACTCTACAAATTTACTAAAACAACATGAGATTTACTTTCTTAAATTAGGTGTACAGTACAATACTGTTAACTATATGCACATGCACAACATCCTACAGAAGACCTCTAGAACTTATTCGTCTGCATTACCAAAACTTTATATCCATTGAACAACTATTTCTCCCTCCTTTCAGCTCCTGGCAACTACCATTCTATTTTTTGCTTCTGTGAATTTGGTTATTTTAGATATCTCATAAAAATGAAATCATGTAGTATCTGTCCTTACAGGAATAGCTTATTTCACTTACCATGATGGTCTCAAGGTCCATCCATGTTGTCACATATGGAGGATTTCCTTTTTCTTTTTTTTTGAGACAGAGTCTTGCTCTGTCGCCCAGGTTGGAGTGCAGTGGCATGACCTTGGCTCACTGCAACCTCTACCTCCTGTGTTCAAGCGATTCTCCTGCCCCACCCTCCCAAGTAGCTGGGATTACACGCTTGCACTACCACACCCAGCTAATTTTTCTATTTTTAGTAGAGACAGGGTTTCAATATGTTGGCCGGGTTGGTCTCAAACTCCTGACCTCAGGTGATCCGCCCACCTTAGCCTCCCAAAGTGCTAGGATTACAGGCGTGAGCCACCATGCCCAGCCATTCCTTCTTTTTCATGAAGAAATAATATTCTATTCTATGTATATACCACATTTTCTTTAGACATTCATCCATCAATGGACATTTAGGCTGTTTCCACGTCTTGGCTATCATGAATAATGGTGAAATGAATGTGGGAGTGCAGATACCTCTTTGAGATCTTGATTTCACTTCTTTTGGATATATAACCAGAAATTTTTCTAGAATTGCTAGGTCATATACTTCTATTTTTAATGTTTTATAGGAACCTTCACAGTATTATCTATAACAACTGTACCATTTCATATTCCCAGCAACAGTGTACAAGGGTTCCAATTTCTCGAAATCATTGCCAACATTTCGTTTTTTTCTTTTTTTAAGTGATGGCCATCCTAAGAGGTGCAAGATATCTAATTGTCATTTTGATGTGTATTTCCCTAATGATTAGAGATGTTGAGCATCTTTTCATATACCCATTGGCGATTTCTATATCTTCTTTGTAGAAATGTCTTTTCAAGTCCTTTGCCCACTTAAATATCAGGTCATTTTTTTTGCTCTTGAGTTGTAGGAATTCTTTATATATTACGGAATAACACCTTATCAGATAAATGGTTTGCGAATATTTTCTCCCAGTCCATGGTTTGTGTCTTCACTCAGTTAATTGTTTTCTTTGCCTTACAGAAGCTTTTTAATTTGATATAGTCCCACTTATTTTTGATTTTGTTGCTTGTGTTTTTGGTGTCATAATCCAATAAATCACCGTGAAGACCAATGTCATGAAACTTTCCCGTTTTCTTCTAGGCATTTTATGGCTTCAGGTCTTACAGTTAAGACTTTAATCCATTAAAAAAACCTTTTTTTGTATGGTATAAGGTAAAGATCCAATTTAATTCTTTTGCATGTAGACATCCAGTTTTCCTAATTACTATAGCTTTGTAATATATCTTGAAATTAGGAAATGTGAAGTCTCCAGTTTTGTTCTTCTTTCTCAAGGTTGCTTTCGATATTGGGGGTCCTTTGTAATTCCATATACACTTTAGAATTGGTTTTTAATTTCTGTAAATAATTTTTTTTTAAATAAAAAAATTTAAAACAAATGAGTACTTTTTTTTTTTTTTTTTTTTTTTTTAGATGAAGTTTCGCTCTTGTTACCCAGGCTGGAGTGCAATGGCGAGATCTCGGCTCACCGCAACCTCCGCCTCCTGGGTTCAGGCAATTCTCCTGCCTCAGCCTCCTGAGTAGCTGGGATTACAGGCACACGCCACCATGCCCAGCTAATTTTTTGTATTTTTAGTAGAGACGGGGTTTCACCATGTTGACCAGGATGGTCTCGATCTCTTGACCTCGTGATCCACCCACCTCGGCCTCCCAAAGTGCTGGGATTACAGGTGTGAGCCACCGCGCCTGGCCGAGTACTATGGTTTTAATGGGTCCCCCAAAGTTCATTTGTTGTAAACCTAATCCGCAATACAAGAGTGTTGAATGGTGGGACCTTTAAGAAGTGATTCCTCAGGCTTCTGTCCTCCTGAATGGGTGAATGCCCTTAAGGCAGGAGTAAGTTATTGCAGAAGTGGGTTCCTGATAAAAGAATGAGTTTAGCCCCCTTCCTTTCTTTCTCCCTTGTGCCTTGTGAGCTCTCCAGTCCTTCTGTATTCTATTCTACAGTGGGATGATGCAGTAAGAAGGCCCTTGCAGATGTGGGTCCCTTGACTTTGTACTTCTCTGCCTTCAGAATTGCAAGAAATCAATCTCAGTTCTTCATAAATTATCTACTTTTAGTTATTCAGTTACACCAGCACAAAACAAACTCAGGTAATGAGGTACCCCTATATATACTGTCATAAAAAATTTAAAAACAATTGTTTTGTTTCTTCACATTTTAAAAAGTTGTTTTTAAAAATCAAGGTCATGCATGTAAATAGCTTTTTACCAAAAGCAGTACACAAGGGCTTATGACAAAAAAACAATGTACCTTACACACACAGGCAATCATTTCCGTTCGCAGTTCTTCTGAAGGTTACAAGGTTACAAGTATACATTGCTAATTAACATGCCTTTGTATATCACATCCTGCATCTAATCTCTTTCCCACCTCTACCAACAACCTCAGGTCCAAACCACCATTGTCTTCTGCACAGACAACTGAAATAGCTTCTTACCTGGCCTTCCTTCCTGCTTCCACACTTCCCCACCAAGCAGTCAGAACAATGTTTTTAGATCACTGCACTCTTTTACTCAAAATCTTCCAGTGCTTTCCCATCTAGCTCGTGGTAAAATCCAAAATTTTCGCCTTAGCCAAAAAGGGCTGATATGGCCTGGTCTTCCCCTACTTCTCAGCCTCATTTCCTGTAATCTCCTTCTCCTACTCGTGCCTTAGCCATTTGGATCTCTTTGCTGGGCCTTGCACACCCCAAACATGCTCTTGCCTCCAGGCCTTTGTAGGTGCTATTTCCTCTGCCTGCAATGCTCCTTCTCAGACAACCTTATTCCTTCACTTGTTTTGTACCTCTGCTCAACTACTACCTCTCCGAGAAGACTTTCCTCAGAACCCTATTTTAAAATGCAGCTCCCTCAGTTTCTATCTGCTTACCCTACTTTATTTTTCCTCATGTTACTTGTCACTATCTAAGAATTTTCTTTTATTGCATGCATTCAGGTTCTTTCCAGTTTCACCACAGCTCCTTAGGGGAACTAACTTTGCTTGCATGGTTGCAACTTAGTTGCAGGCATGTTAGTATTCAAGCTCAACGGGAGGGAAAAATATATAGGAGCTCCTATGAACACACATTACTTTGATTATGTTCTCCTGAAAAGAAATTAGTGACACAGCCATATCAGAGTTTGGGAGGCTTGGGAATGCAGTGTCTTTGGGCACATATGTGCCTAACAATCTTCTACTAGAGAAGAAGGAGAGAATATTTTGGTGAACAACATGACAGTTTTCCACAATGTGTGGACTTTAAAAACTGAAAAATAATCTATAAAACATATAAAATGCTTAAAATATAAAAAGCCACCATGTAAGATATTACGTAATTATGACCTGGTAAATGTTATTCACCACTGAGACAAGTGCTCTTTCTACCAATCTACTTTTTAGTATAATTAAACTATGTCTCTTTATGTCTGGTTTTCTTGTTCACTGTGAAATTTCTAGTGGCCTTTTAAACTTTTTTTTTTTTGAGACAGTCTCGCTCTGTCACCCAGGCTGGATGGAGTACAGTGGCATGATCATGGCTCATGGCAACCTCGACCCCCTGGGCTCAAGTGATCTTCCTGCCTCAGCCTCCTAAGTAGCTGGCACACAAGTGTGTGCAACCATACCTGGCTAATTTTTCTTTTCTTTCTTTTTTTTTTTTTATTGTAAAGATGAAGGTCTCTCTGTGCTGCCCAGGTTGGTCTCAAACTCCTGGTCTCAAGCAATCCTCCTGCCCTGGTCTATCAAAGTGCTGAGATTATAGATAGGCATTAGCTGATGCACTTTGCCTTTTTTTTCTTTTCCACATTTTTACATATGCATTTTTCCGAGTTCTCAGCCATACTATCTATTCTATGAAACCTCCATCCCTCCCAGAGTCCCTGTCATGCAGTCCTTAGTTCTCCTGATCCACTATTTCTTGAATCCCATGATGGCCTCTTCAATTTATTCTTTTGTTGCTGGAGTACAACCTCAGGAAAATTTCTAGGAAAAGGTACGAGTTCTCACCCCATGTATTTACCATCACACTCGGTCAGTTCTAGAATCAGAACCATTTCCCTTTAGCATTGTGAAGGCATTGTTCCCTCATCCTCCAGAATCTAGCTGCTGAGTGACCTGGGTCATTCCAATTTCCTTTACTTTGGAGGCGTCTTATCCATAGAAAGTTTAAAGATCTGTGTATGCCCAGTGTTGATAAATATCCCCAAGATCTTTTCCATGCTTCCTCCTTGATTTTGAGAGACTCTTATAAAGTGGTCTCAGGTGTCACCACATCCTGAAAACGTAACCATATTATTTACTGAACAATGATCTTGCCACTGTTTTCTCTGTCTCACACTAGAACTACTCATTGGATGTGAACCCCTTATATCGAGTTCCTGTGTTTTCTTTTGCAAGTAACAAAAATCAGTACTATAACACTTTTCACTTGATGGGCAATGGTGAAAAATATAGTGTTCAGTTTTTATGAGAGTATGAGGAAGTGACCTCTCTTCCACCAACTAGTGGGAATGTGTATAGTTATAACCCCTCTGCAGACCAATTTGAGAGCCCTCAGAGGCTCTAAAAACATTAATATTCTTGAACTAAGCAGCTTCTAGGAATGCAATCTCTACTCGTAGGCATACAAGATAACAAAACAGATATGAGTAAAAAGACAATTTTTTAAAACACCATGTCCATCTCAATGAAATAGCAAAAAAAAGGAAGCAATTTAAATATCAATCAATAGGATATTCTCTAATGATATGATGGTAGCATAGGCTATCATATAACTCTTTAGAAAAATGATGTGGGTATTATTTATTACCATGAAAGATACTCATGTTCTAGAGCTAAGTGAAAAGGACAGGAAATAGATTAATACTATTAAAATTATATATATTCATATATCTACATAGAAACACTAAAGTCTCTAGAATGATATACAATGTTTATATATTGTTTATACAATGTTACACAAAAACGTTCATAGATATCTTTAAAATTATGGTTGATTAGAAAATAATTTAGCTTGAGTGGAATTTTTTTTTGAAGCTTGAACGTCTCAGATTGAAGGTACAGTATACATTCAAGATTTCTTAAAATTTCCATTCACACTACAAATGCGCCACCTAAAATTTCAAAGTAAATTATGGCAGGAATTTACCTTTTAAGACAATAGTATAACTTGTTGCAACTTCATGTTAGAATATCAGATTTAATTTTCATAGCTATTGAAGTTAGAGGCTTTATTCCTTTTTTTTTTTTTTTAAAGACAAGGTCTTACTCCATTGCCCAGGCTGTAGTGCAGTGATGCAATCACAGCTCATTGTAGCTTTGAAGTGGGCTCAAGAGATCCTTCCACCTCAGCTTCCTGAGCAACTGGGACCACAGGTGTGTCCCACTTTGCCTGGCTAATTAAAAAAAAATTTTTTTTTTTTTTGTAGAACCAGAGTCTGTGTTGCACAAGCTGGTCTTGAAGTCCCAGACTCAAGCAATTCTCCTCCCACCCCAGCCTCCCAAAGTGCTGAGACTGTAGCCATGAGCTACTATGCCCAGCCTGAAGCCAAAGGCTGTTTTCAATGTCATTATACTCATTTGGTCAGGATAAGACTGAACGGAGGGGTAGAAAGCCCAGGCAGAGAGTTTCAAAGGCATCATGGTAACAGGGAACAACACGATCACGTCCCACACTAAGGAACCACCAAGACTCAAGTGTGCATTCTCATTGTAGGAAGTCTTCTGCTAACTTGTTAAATTCATCTGCAAAACGCAAATGCAGGTTGTGTTTGCTTTCTGGCATCAAATGCAGCCGTGAGCCTTTCACGTGCCAATGAATGAAGTCGGCATGAAACCTTAGGACCAGAAGATACTTCTCGCCATGCACAATCAAGGTGGGGCCCTGGACCTGGGGCAGCAGGTGCTGGCAGATGTTACCATCTGGAAGATGTTTAAACAGGCTTATGCCATCCACCCACTTTTCACAGGTTCCGGCAAAGTAGTCATGCCCATAGGGGGCTTCTAGAGGCTTTTTTGTTCTCTCACGCCATTTAGAAAAATCTCGATGCCCTCGTAAGACATGCTGTCTTCATCAGTGACGTAGGCATTGGGGCCCCAAATCACCATCTTGTGGATGTAAGATGGGTATTTTGCAGCAGCAGTGAGTGCGGTTATGCCCCCATCACTCCACCCCGGCAGAGAAACCTTCTTAAACTTCAGCGCCTTCATCAAATCAACAGCATCTTTTGCATCTCTTTCAAAAAAGTCTACTGGGAAATCGCGATGTGAAGGCTTGGAATGCCCATAGCCTCCAGGATCCCAGGCGACCACTTTAAAGAGCTTCTTATTGAGGTTCGTGAGCTGAGGTCCGGAATCAGTCTCTCCACTTCCCAACATCCCAGGAAGTAGCAGGACTGCGTGATCTCCCTCTCCAGCCTGCTGGTAATACAGATGGATGCCATTCACAGCCACTTTGGCAGAGGTTACCAAGGTGCTGAACGCTGCCGCGGGTCAGGCCTGTGGGACGAGGATACTGGGCGTCAGTGCCCAGAGCAGCAGCCGCAGCTGCAGCCCGCTGCCCCGGCCGCCCAGCACAGACTCTATAGTCAAACGTCTGGTCGCTGACGGGAGTGCGCAAGCACTGAAACCAAGCGCGGTTGCTGGCCCGAGTGTATTCTTTGATGTTTTCTTTTTGCTATGAACATAGAGTTTTATCAAAAAAGGGGCTAACGAGTCCAGGCACGGTGGCTCACGCCTGTAATCCTAGCACTTTGGGGAGGCAATGGTGGGCAAATCATGAGGTCAGGAGTTCGAGATCAGCCTGGCCAACAGGTGAAACTCCGTCCCTACTAAAACTACAAAAAATTAGAGGGGCGTAGTGGTGAGTGCCTGTAATTCCAGCTACTCAAGAGGCTGAGGCAGGAGAATCATTTGAACCCGGAAGGCAGAGGTTGCAGTAAGCTGAGATCGTGCCACTGCACTCCAGCCAGGGCGACAGAGTGAGACTCCATGTCAAAAAAAAAAAAAGAGCTAATGATAAAAGTCTCTAGATAAAGTGTTTTCCATACAAACATTAATTAAGCAGAATTAACCAGAGGTAAAATATTATTAGATAAGTAATTTAAATATGTGATCTTGTCCCAGTTATAATAATAGCTGTGTCACCTTGAACAAATATCTCAGCAGCAGGTTACTCAGCTGTAAAATAGGAAAAAATAATGGCTGCCAATCTACCTCACTGTGTCATCATGAAAAATCAAAAGTATATTTAAATGTTTTGAAAAGTGTAAAATACTACAAAAATGAATGATGGAGTAATCAGTATTATCACTAAAGCAATTAAAAATAAAAACGTTGATTTGATTCAGAATGGGAGAAAATATTTGCAAACTATGTCTGACAAAGGTCTAATATCCAGTATCTATAAAAAACTTAAACAAGTAATCCCATTAAAAAGGGGGCAAAGGACATGAACACTTTTTAAAAGAAGATATACATGCAGCCAACAAGCATATGAAAAAAAGCTCAATCACAAATCACTAGAGAAATGTAAATCAAAACCATAATGAGATATTATCTCACACTAGTCAGAATGGCTGTGGCTATTATCAAAAAGTCAAAAAATAACAAATGCTGGAAAGATTGTAGAGAAAAGGGAATGCTTATATACTGTAGGTGGGAGTGTAAATTAGTTCAACCATTGTAGAAAGCAGTATGGCAATTCCTCAAAGAGCTAAAAGCAGAATTACCCTTTGACTCAGCAATCCTATTACTGGACATACACCCAGAGAAATGGAAATCATTTTACCATAAAGACACATGCACGTGAATGTTCACAGCTGCACTTTCACAATAGCAAAGGCATGGAATCAACTTAATGCCCATCAATGACAGACTGTATAAAGAAAATGTGATATATATATATACACCACGGAATACTATGCAGCCATAAAAGACAATGAGATTATGTCTTTTGTGGGAACACAGATGAAGCTAGAGAGGCTACTATCTTTAGCAAACTAATGCAGGAACAGAAAACCAAATACCGCTGTTAAGTGGGAGCTAAATAATCAGAACTCATGAACGCAAAGAAAGAAACATCAGACAATGGGGCCTACCGGAGGGTGGAGGGTGGGAGGACGGAGAGGAGCAGAAAAAATAACTATGGGGTACTAGGTTTAGTATCTGGGTGATAAAATAATCTGTACAACCAGCCCCCATGACACGAGTTTACCTATATAACAAACCTGCACAGGTACAAAAGTTGAAAAAGAAGTCAAGCAGTGGTGTCTCTAGGAAAAGCATATAAACTAGGAAAAGGCACAAGGAAACTTGTTGAGGTGTTGAAATGTTCTTTGCCCTGATCTGAGTGATGGCTATATGGGTGTAGAGATGTAAAAATCCACTGAACTGCACATATAAAATTTGTGGACATTATCATATGTAAGTCATATGATATATACAAAATGTTAAGATACAATATATCTGGTATGTAGTAAATGCGCAATAAATATTAGAACCTTTCCTTGAAAGAAAAATGTTGATCTCGTAATTGATTTTTGCAATGTTATACTCATGTAATGAATAGTTTATAATCATGTCCTATGTAAGATTTTCTTCAATGTTGACACAGAAATGGTGGCATGGAATGCAAATCTATGAACCTCTGGCCTAGAATCCTATAATATATAGCAAAACTCTTAACTAGGCCAATGGAAAGATTAAGCAATTAAATATGAAGCTTCATCTGATGGACACTACTACCTCAAATAACATTGTCTTCCCTCTCCTTCCAACAGGCATTCAGGTCTGTTTGAAGGAGAGGGATTCATATCCTGGGCATAAGAACTTGACTACTCCTATTAGAACACAAGTAAGTGTGGGAATATTTGGTAATACAAATTATCATCTATTAGTATCATATTGATAATTATTGGATAAGCTAGTGACTCATCTAGCAAGAATAAAGGGAAAAAGCACCCATTCTTTTCTAAAATTTAAATATCTTGAAAAGTTGTAAGGTTGAAAGGGTAAGAGTAGGAAGGGAGAGTAATATGAAATGAGGCTCAGACTAAGAGAACCACTATAGCATGAAACTGGCTAGGGGGCAGTGAGGATGAAGACAGAAAAACTAAAAGGGCAATCCTTGTCATGTTTACAATTTTGTGTAGGGCTAGCCTGACTCTAAAAGGAATATATTTGCCAGGATAACTATATATTTTAGTTCACTGATCAACCATAATGCTTATTTTCGATTGAAGAATCCACTTACATGTTTTTGAAACCAGCATAATAACAATATATAAATTTCCTCCAAGAGGAATCTCCTTGCTAGTTGAGCTATGGAAATGAAATTGGGAATTTTATGATCTTCCCTCCTCCTCTTCACTTGCATAATTGGCTACTTACATAACAACACACCTCTTACCTCACACTACAGCACTAAGCTAATTATGAAAGCCTGTTTAAATCTAGCCACCTGTCTTTTGTTTTGCTGCCGACCTGGGCCTTTTTCAAGCAGGCAGAAAAATCTCCTATCAGTCTGTTATCATAACCGGAATGCAAGAGATTAGTGACCAGGGAGAGAAGCAGAATCAGTTTCCATCATTTCAGGCAAGAGAACAGTATTACTTCACAAGCAAGAAATCTGGGGCCCCCTGACCTTAATTTAGAAAACCTGCAATTAATAATCCTGTTAAAGTTAGTTTTACATGCGAGAGAGTTTTTGTTTCCTGTTACTTTTACAATCTGAGTGTCCTTTGTGATTACCAAAATTATTTGCTGAAAGGCATATATTTACATTTAAAATATTTAATCCACAGTAAAGTAGTTCTTACAGTTTAGATATATCTGAATTAAAATATACTCCGTGTCAATTTTTTTAAAAGCTTAAAAAAAATTGCTTGTATTTATCCAGAGTACAATTTAGCAATCTAACTCTGCTAATTATGACAATTAATATACTTAAGTTCTTTCTTAATTGAGGAATAAAATAGGTTTTTAACTGTAATCTGACAACCCAAATAAAGAATCATATAAATCCCACCACTGGCACACACACCTCTCTCCTTAAAAGGTCAAGTGTTTCTTGAAGGAAAGAGAACTAAGCCTGAAGCTACAAATTTGGCAAGGAAACAGGGTCAAAAAACAGCTGTGTAAAGCCCACAAAGAACTAGTCAGGTGATCGGGTCAGTATGCAGAGGTTCTGATGACACCCAATTGAACCTGGCTTCTTTTTCATAATCGAATACTTAATGAAACGAATCTAATTAACACCATAAGCCAAAAAGAGGCTCAAGTGGTCTTTTTAAAGTGTGGTTAACTTTCACTTAACATTATACTAGAGAAACAATATTAGCTGAACCATTTCAGCTGTTTCAATGTGATTTACAAGTCATCCGTGTGTGTTACTGAGTCTACAGACACCTGTTCTCTTTTACAGAGTGATTCTGTGTGTGTGTGTGTGTGTGTGTGTGCGCGCACGTGCACGCATGTGCATGTGTTGGGGGATGGGAGAGTTACTGAAATGAATAGTCCAGCCATGGAGATGATGCTTATAAAATGAAAATGCAGTGTGAGTCTACATATATACTGACATAAAAATTATAATGGCATTTTTTTGTGCAATGTAAGTTTAGATGTATTACATATTTATTTCCAAGGTACCTTTGATATTATGAAAACAGAACTAATACTCGACCAAAAAAAAAAAAAAAAAAACCCCGAAATAAAAAACCACCACAATGTCAGGTTTTCCACTGCCATGATAAAGGGAAAAAATATCTATTGCAGACATGAAATCAGTCTCCTTTGGGTAAATCTATGGAAGAAAAAAAGGAAACATATGGGATGAATTTGCAAAAGTTTAAAAAGATGCTTTTGACTTCACCAAGACTAACTCTAGTAAATTAAGTATGTACTAGATCTATGAAGTTCTGTTGATTATATCGTGTGTATCTTGACATTTTTTAAACTTTCATCTTTCTCCTCTTAAAAACACGAATAAAAATTTACCAGGTTTTAATGACAACATACTAAAACATTGCTTTGCTCAGTTTCCTATCTGTCTTTAGCATCAACTGTAGAGCCTTACAGAAATATTATTTTAAAGTTAAAGGTGGTGCTGTCATCAAAGGAGACAGTATTATGATTATTTTTCATTAAGCAATTGAACTAAAAGTTTAGGGTCTTTTTAAACCAATGTTTTATAACTTTAAAAAATTATTTTAGTAATTTTTGATAATCACTGTATTAATTAGAAGGTCATAGTACTTATTAAAATATCAAAAACCATGGAATGTCTTCAATTTTGTCAGATATTTACTGATAAGTCATTATTAACTTCTCTTTTACAAACAACCTTAAAATGAGATAATAAAACATATACCATCCAGTAACACAACATTTTAGCAGAAGAAAAGTTATCCTTATGGTTCTTTTGTAGTCACTCAAGACAACTGGTCTCCTCATGAAACACAGCAAAAAAAAAAAAAAGGTTACAAAATACTACAGCTATTTCCCCTTATGATCAGACTTTAATTCTGAAGCAAAAATACTGCTAAACATCTTATAAAAATTCAGATTTCACTCTTTGAAATGACTTATACAGTAGTAACAATATTCATATAGATAATTTAAAATTCTCAAAGCAGGTCCATTGCAAAAACAAAACAACACAAAACTTAAAATACAAAACTTGAGTACAGGTGAAGTATTCCTAATCTAAAAGCCCAAAATTGCTAAAAAATCTGAAACTTGAATGCCAACGTGACGGATTAGGGATGCACAACCAGTAATAATTTTTGCAAGTTTCTTTCAAAGTTTATTATGGAAAGTAACTGAATAGCATTTCTAATAAGCTTTTTTTGGTAGCCATATTTAGTAATCATGTTGCAGGTTTTAAAAAATTGACAGTATCAAAGAGGCATAAAGGTATACTACAGAATTGAAGGGGAAATTTAAATCTTTGCTTTCAGTAACTCTCTAAGTATTTTTGGATCTACAGGATTTATTGAAAGTAAATTTAGTAAAGAGTATGTACCATCCTTTATGAAAATATAAATTTAATAAGTATTTTTTCTCAATTTCAATTAAACATTTACTGAGTATTTAGTACATTATACATCAGGCACTGTGCTAGGTGCTTTCTAAAAAATTCTCTGCTCTAAATTTCCTCAATAAAAGCAGCTAAAGTGTTAAGTCAAAACCTTTCCAAGTAAGTAATTTATCTTTTAAATGTTAGGTACA